TCTCATCGATGTTTCTGACTCTCTATCCCTCTCCCTTCCTCTCTGTAAAAAATCAATAAAATATATTTAAAAAAAAAAAAGAAATAAACCTTCTCAGTTCACATTCAAATCCTCTGGGAACTTTGAGGCGAGCTCACAGCTTCTCCGCATGGCCCTGGTGTCATCACAAGTGCGTGTTGGGGTTTGTCTGACGCCGCGCCAGCGCGGAGTGTCACCTCCCCGGGGATGGGGATGCCCGCGAGTTCTTTGGCCCATTTACTGTGAATTGATTGTGTGTTTGCGATGCATTCCCCAGAGCAGGCCCCAGGCAGCGTAGAAGAGTATTGACAGCCCAGGCACAAGTCCCAGCAAATGACACTGGAACAATCTGGAAAAAAATAAAGTCCAATGTCTTCCTCACACAGGCAATGGCCGTAACTTCAAGATGGACTAAATATTAAAACACTAGAGGCCCAGTGCAACATTCGTGCACTGGGGGGAGTACGGGGGGGGGGGGGGGGGCCTCAGCCTGACCTACACCCTTTTGCAGTCTGGGAGCCCTTAGTGCTGCTGCTACCGCCACTGCACTCACCAGCTGTGAGCCTGGCTTCTGGCTGAGCGGCGCTCCCCCTGTGGGAACGCACTGACCACCAGGGGGCAGCTCCTGTGTTCAGCGTCTGCCCCCCGGTGGTCAGTGCGTGTCATAGCGACTGGTCGTTCCGCTGTTCAGTTGATTTGCATATTAGCCTTTTATTACATAGGATGATAATGAGCCTTAGGAGTCCTGTAGCACACCTCCCCGGGCGGCACAGCAGTGTGGATTAAGGGAAAGGAAAGCTTTCTTCCTTCCCGAGCCTCCCCTGCATGATTTGCCGGGCAGGTCTGGAGAAAGGAGCGTCACCTCAGAAATCCACTGGGTGTCCTCTCCCCGTCTTGGGGGTTCCCCAGAAGCAGACTCTGGGACAAGGATCCGAATAGGACGGCTCATTTGGGAGGTAATGCTGAGACGTGGTTCTCGCCCACGTCTGTTCACTTGCAGGTAGAGGCACGGACTGCCCTTGTTCCAAACAGTCCTTTAAGGGCGATTATCATAATGAGCAGCCTTAGAAGACAGAAATGGCGTCTGCCTCCAGGGCAAAGGGCAGTTTATTTATTGTCCAGTTTAATAAAGGTGGGGCAGGTTTGCTTGTAGCCTGTCATAAAAGATGTGGGTTCCCTTAGCTCAGGTTCCTCTCAGTAATGCCACCCTCTCCAAGTACAAGCACCCTCTGGCCCTTATTGAGTCACCCTGTGGGAACTGGGGTTTGGGGATGCGGTGCGAGAAAATGCTGACCCTCCGCGCATGGCTGCTGCTGTGAACAATAGACTGATCTCTGTTTCTGAGCCGGGAGTCTTGTGTCTTCTGCACGCCCTTGGGGAGAGGGCAGGCTCACCCTTCAGCTTGCAGGTTGAGTAAAATCTCAGCACCTGCCCGAGGGGAGAGGGACAGTGAGACGGAAGGAAATGAAGCGGAAATGAAGCCAGAGCAGGTGTGTTTGGAGTGGGTCCCCTCGGTGGGCAATTGAGGCTCGGTCATCAGTTGAGAGACGGCACAGAACGTACCTCAGGGCTGTCCCGCCAAGGGGTGAGGAAGCTGGGGGGGTGTCCGCCCACCCCCCCACCCCTCCGGCACTGGCCCAGGGCTGCTCCCAGGGGTGAGCTCCGTGGCGCCGTGGGCCCCTGCAGCAGAGAAAGGCAGGCTGAGCATCACAGCTGCTGCGCAGGGACTGCCGGGCAAGGGGTGTGAGCTGCTTGGAACTCACCGAGCTCTGTGGTCCCGGGGGAGCAGGGCCTTATCTGAAAACTACCTGTCCCCGGTGTCTGGCAAAATGCCACGCAGATAGTGCTCGAAGGCTTGCCACATGGCCCAGGATAAGGCCTGTTTACTTGCCTCTCTCCTCCACGGGCCTGAGCTGCTGATGGGCCGGGTCTGTGTCAATGTCTCCTTCCTATGCCGGCAGCCGAGGGCAGGCCGGGCGACCAGCGAGCGCTCAGTAGAGGTTTGCGGCAGGAATGATGCGCACGAACAGGCTTCTAAAATAAACGAAGAGGACTCTGTGTCCACCAGGACTGACGGCCACCCTGAACTAGAGAAAGGCTGTCGCCCCAAACCCACAGCCGCGCCCTCAGAGAGGCACCCAGGCTCCCTCCGTACGCAGGAAGCAAGATACAAGCGCTCTAGCATCACCGGTTTTCAGTCGTACATCGAGCGTGTTAGCCAAGCTCTTAGACAAGGAAAATAAATGAGAACTGTAGCCCTAGCTGGTGTGGCTCAGTGGACAGAGTGTCGGCCTGCGGACTGAAGGGTCCCGGGTTCGGTTCCGGTCAAGGGCACGTAACCCGGTTGCAGGCTCCAGCCCTGGTCAGGGGCACGCAGGAGGCAACCCGTCGATGTGTCTCTCTCACATCAGGGTTTCTCTCTGTCCCTCTCCCTCCCACTCTCTCTAAAAATCAATGGAGAAAAAACATCCTCAGGTGAGGATTTAAAATAAGTAAGTTAATAAGAACTCTATACATTAGCAAGGAAAAGACACATCCGTCATGATGTTTAGCGGTAAAAGTTCAGTGTCAAAATTCCAAAAGAAGCAAAGAACAGCAGAGCTAAGAGAAACCGAAGGGGCCAGCTATAGGGTAAGCTGCAGACACTGGGAGCTTGCCCAGGCCCAGCGAGAACGCGGGCCGCGTCTCTGTGCTCGGGAACCGCAGGCGCTGGGTGACGAACCTCGGAGGAGAGCAGCAGCGGGGCTCTCTGTCCTGGGGCGCAGGCCTGTGCAGCCAGGGCAGGAGCGAGCCGTGGGAACTGCAAGCCGCCCGCCTCCAGGCTGAGTTTTACCCTCCTCTCCACCCGCCAGTACCCACCAAACCTTCCCCGAGGCCCCCAGCCAGGTGCACAGGCAAGGCCCTCATGTCCCGCACCCCCACCGCCACCTGAGCTGGCAGCTGCGCACAGGCCTCTGGTCCAGGGGTGGGTGGCTGTGCCATTCCCGGAGGCACGGCAAGGCCAGGGGTGGGGAGTGACGGGCTCTGAGCCGCTGGGGCAAAGGCTGCCTCTCTGCCCCGGAGACCCAGCGAAGGAGCAGAGACCATTTAGTGAGAGAGCAGCACCCAGCACACCCGAGGGCTCCCTCCACCTCGTCCGGCCCCACCTACCCCCCCAACTTAGCAGGGGTGGGCCCAGCACACAGTTGAGGGGAGCTCGGAACAAACAAAACCTGGGGTGGCAAACCCCGAGGGTCGATGGGCCCCGCGTGCAGTGTTCCAGGCCTCCTCTGCCCTCCGAGGCACACAGGGCCTTGCCGGGCCTTGGGGAGGGAAGGGCG